GCTACCCTTCTTTTACTTAGCACATACGTTCACCAAAAACGTACCAAGGCCACTGGCCGAATGATCAGACCAGGCGCCTAGTCAACTGATCTAACTTTTAAAAACTAATCCGACCTGTCCCAACATTATAGCAGGCGTCCGGCGGCATCCATTCGGATGAAATTCGTCGCAGAGAGCAGCTCCCTTTTGGGTGGAACATTGTTCTATAAACTAATTACACGGCACCTATACGACTGTCCCAAAGGGCAACCACGTAGCCGTTTTTGAGACAAGGATAACTCTATCACTAACCAAACCAGTGGTAGCAGTTGACATCTGAGTCAGATGACCGCCTGTATTACTTGGGATAAATGCAGGGGGTACCTATTGAGTTAATAGCCAACAAACATTGGCGAATCAAGGGGTCTAGCCGGCCTACGCCGCCTGGTACCTCTACTTCTCAAACAAAAGTGACGGCGACTGAGTAACTCCAAAGTTAACTCATAGTCACTCCTTCAAATTTGGTATGGAACCTAAAAAGTTTGAGTCGTCCGCCTGTTTTATACAAACAAGGGCACTCGAACCCCTATTCCTACTGGATAACCTATTGAGTAAATAGCCAACAAACATTGGTAAATCAAGGGGTCTAGCCGGCCTACGCCGCCTGATACCTTTACTACTCAATCAAGATTGTGACGAAGACTAAGTAACTCCTATGTTAACTTAATAGTCACTCAAACTTAGTACTGAGCCTAAAAGGTACGAGTCGTCCACTTGTTTTTAATAAACAAAGGCTCTCAACCAATACTCTTGCTAGGTTAACAAATAACAAATTAGAGGCCAACATTGGCAATAAAGGGAAACAACCGGTACCCGCCGCTTGTTTTCCTACTTAAATTCCTTGGCTACTTGGTAATTCTATTTACTTGGTCAAATTGAATAAAGAGTTCGAATACCGATTGATTAAATGGCCGACTGATCATCTATCCTGGAAACAGACAACCAGTCGTCCAGGGGCATAGGCGGCATACTTACTATTTGTACCTGTCTTAACGTTCGGCCATACACAACAGTCTGTCTAGTGAGCAAATTTCAAATACTTAGACAAATTTGAACAAAAACAAAAAATTTGATTAAAATGAGCCGGCCATAAAAGACCAGCAGAATATTCAAAACCCCGGCCCCCTGGCCGGGTAATTACAAAGCAAACGGCACGCAGGCCGTGAAAAGAAAAAATATACTTAAAGCTTAAGAAGGGGGCAGTTCAGTATCAGCAGCAGCCGCCTGGTCAGCACTCTTCTTGCTGGACTCGGCCTTCGCTGCATCATCTTTTGATGCCTTTCCCCCAAGTGGCACAAGCGCCACAACAGGCTCTTCCTCCTCCAACGCAACGTCCATCGCCTCTTCTTCAGCAGCCGCCAGGATCTGTTGATTATATATTTCCGAACACTGGCGGTACGTTCTTTCCCATGAGGCAAAGTCGGCACTGGGGAACAGTCGTTCCCAGGTCATGCGTTGGATTTGGGCGGAGTCTTCCACCATCTCCCGGACGAGCTCTTGTTTTTCTTGCTCGGCCTTGTCCGAGAGCTCTTGGGTAAGACTCTTCTCCTGGTTCACCAGGCGTTCTTTTACGTTAGCCAAAGATTTCTCCATGGCTTCGTAAGAGTGCATTTTCTGGCGAAGGGGTTTCAGCTCGGCTTTAAATTTGGTGACGGTCCCCTCCAGCTCGTCAACCTTCTTTTGGGCCGCCTCTAGCTGAGCCCGAACAGCGGCGGTCGCCTGCGCCTGATAATAAAGAAGATCAATGGTCAGTACTTCATTTTGGGCAATTTGAAACATTGCTTTATCACAGCTGGAGGCGGCCATAGCCTTTGCGGCCTTTACCTCTTTGTTTTTCCGATCAATCGGCTTGCGAAGGCTGTTGACTCGGAGCAGGGCCTAAGTACAAAGAAAAACAGGCGTCAGTTTCCAATCAAAAGGGTTAACAGGCGTCCTGGAACTTCAAAAGGGTATACCTCAGCTAGGATCCCCGAAATTCCATCGAGGTCAAGGGTGCCGGCACCCTTGACCGCCTCCCTGTCAGAGGGAGGAACTACTTTAACCATTGACTTGGCTACCTCAACCAAGTCAAGTCCCTGGGGGCCGGCTGCATTAAGCAAAAGGAAAAACAAGTTAGACCTAATCAAGAAGGAAGGAAGAGTGAGTTTTTACAAGCAAGTGTCCATACATCTAGGCGGCCCCGCCTGGGTTTTTGAGGAAGTGGCCGGCTGCTTCTCAGCCGCCACTGTTTTCCTGGAAGACCCAGGAGAGCTTGCAACAGTCGTTCTCCGGGCCTTGGGGTCCGGCTGTTGCGAGGAAGAAGCCCTTGGAGTGCCAGACTGAAAACAAAAAGAGTTAGTATATGCATAATACAACTTAAAGGGGAAGAGTTTTCAAAGCTTACCAAGGGTGCCTCCTTGCTGGGGGAGTCGGCGTACGACTGCTTCATTAGCGAAACCCGCAGCATGGCCGCCGCAGTCTTAGATGCTGTTATTTTACTCATGGCGTCGGCTGAAAGAAATAAACAGCAAAGTTAGTAAAAATCCCAAGTAAACAAGGCGTGAAAAAACAGAGTATTCGTCAGGCCGGCTACCTCTAGAGCACCGACTGCCGAGGCCACAGGCGGCCAAGAAGTACTCATCATAGAGCCACTTGAAGCTCGGGACGCAGTGTAGGGGTACTTGCTCTCGTACCCCTGAAGTAGAGTTCACCCTAGTCTCTACTTTGAAGAGTCCTTTGTCTAGGATCTCTCTTTTAGCCTTTGGGGGAACAGGCGGCATGCTGCGGCCGCCTGCAAGAAGAGGCGGATCCCTGTTCCACTTGTTAAAACGTTTGTTCAGCTCCGTGTCTGAACTCTCGATAATAAGGAAGGTGTTCCGCCAATCCTTCCATTTGTTTGCCTTACCTCTCGTCATGAGGTAACCCCTGTGGCTTGTTAGTTGATACCAGCCGGTACCTCCCGACTTAGGGGTCCGGCTGAGATAGTTCATCTGGGCGAAAGCCTCAAAACTTGGCTCCACCCCGTTCAGTTCGCACCCGGCCACATAGCCGAGTACGTTTACCCAAGAGTTGGGGGCTAACTGCCATAACCCCAGATCATACCCATCTAAAATCCGCTGAACAGCCGGATGTAATGGGAAGCGCAGACCAGCTTTGATGGCCGCCACATAGCAGCCAAAACAGCCGTCACCATAGCTGGTACCAGCCGGCCAGACGACAGTATCTTCTGGATCCGGCACAAACAGTAAATACTCCGGGCCCATTTTGTGGTTAGCAATAAAGCTCGCCACGTTGTCTCGCATGGTTGCGATCCGGCCCCGGGGCACCCTGCAGTAGTAGGGGGTGTTTTCCTCTCTGTAAGAGGCGGACGGCTCTGCCCAATTATCCCCCTTCTCCACTGCATGGGAACTTCTCGCCTCTTGTAGGCGGTTATGTTTTTCTTCTGAGTCAGAAGAACTATGGTCAGAAGAACTATGGTCAGAAGAACTATGGTCAGAAGAGCTGGAATCGGACTCGTCCCCTGACGAGTCCGAAGAGGACGACGCCTCCCCTCTCCTAGAGGGGCCCGCCTCCTCTCCCTTAGAAGGAGCAGAAGGTAAATTAGACATGTCCACGGTTAGATGAGAAGGGAACACCTTGGTCCCTCTCTCAGAACTGTCAGCTTGACAGTCGCCTCGTTCCACATCTGGCGCCTGGTCAGATGTTTCGCTAAGGAGTACCCTTTGGGAGGAGCCGTCTGAGTTTGATATTCTAGCAGTCTTTTTTGTTCTGGCCATCACGTTCTGCATAGACACAGATTCAGTCGGACTTTGTATAAAGGGCAAAGATGGGTCCAGAAAAGGGCAGGCGGCACTCCTAGTCCTAGATTCAGCCGTCCCCGGTGACTGGCTGATCACTAACTTAGGGCGTGTCGTGTGCTTCCATGGTGCCATTTCAAAAAATAAAAAGGAAATTAAGAGTAAGAGAACTGAGTTACCTGAACGGATGACAGTTGATGAAGTCCTGAAAGTTCGGGTCAGTCGGCTTGTCAGAACAGGCGGTAGGCAGAAAAAGTCCGAAAATGTCAGAGCAAGTTCAGGGGTCCGAATGTTCTCGCAAAAATTCTCAAATGTGAAAATGACCGAAGTCAGCACTTCCTTTTATAGGCAAAATGAGAAGGCGAAGGGTCGCTTCCGAATTCAAATTTGGGCGGGAGAGTCTCCCGGCCGTCTGCAAGGTGACACCTGTAACGGGCCGTCGCCTGTCACCGTGCGACGCCTGTCACAGGCGACACGTGACCAGTCGCGTGCCACCTGTGAGGGGCAAATGATTAGGGGATTTTTATCCACCAAGCGCCGTTTGACAAGTGGACCAACCAGGTTCCGCCACGCGTCCTCCACGGACCACTTAAGACACGCCACGTGTCCACCCATGCCAAATGGGACAACCGGCCATCAAGGCCCATTTCAGTCTAGAAGCCCGATCGGCCCTAGGTTTACCTTAAACCTAGAGAGTTGCACGCTTCCCAAGGCTATAAATACTCGATTAATCCTCATTAATCAAGGGACGGAATAATTAACGGAACAGAGGAGAAACATTACGGAACACACTAATAACCGGCTGATCTCGCTAGCAAAGCAGATTACCTACATTAAATACTCTCACCTAGAGAGACCTTATTACTTTAATTTCTGTATTAATTACTCCTTAATCAGGTACTAACTTGACCGTTGGAGGCGGAGCTCTCAGGAGTCTCCGTTATTTTGCAGGTACAGGCGTCCGGTTCCAGTCTCGGAATTGTAGCTCTCCCGCAGGACATCAGAAAACCCCGAAACAGTTATACTTTTACAATCAAATCACATCTGCTCGATCCATAATCCAATTGTAAAGAATTAAAACAATTTAATAAAAAATTATTTTGCAATATCAATAATCAATAATAACAATTTATCCCTTCATATTAATTATGGATCTCCCAAAAACCCTAGAATTAATTACTCGAATATAATTAAATCTAAATTAATCCAAGCAATTAAAATAAGGGTATTTTCATTTTTACCACCTTCAAATAATGACTTTGTCGAATTTACCACCTCCAAAAAAAAACATTTACTTTACCACCTCATAAAAAAATTAAACATCAGTTTTACCACCTCATCTGAGCTCAGGTGACGGAAAACGCTTGTGGGGCCTAGTTAACTGTCACTTCCCTCCAATTTAATTCTTTTAAAATCGATTTCCCTCTGTCTCCTCCTTTTCTCACCTTCCACCTTCCATAATCAATGTCTCACCAAATTTCTCACTTCCTCATCAATTTTCGTCTCTCTCTCCTTTGATTTTTCTTGATTCTCACTGTAACTGCTTCTCTCTCCTTTGAATTTTCTCTTTCTCTCTGTAAAAACTGAAACTCTAGATCAATTTGGGTGGTTGAAATCGAGCTGGAACCACAAAATTGCAACACATCAGCTTCTCTTGTCATCTTCCACAGGGTGAGGGGACCAAAAGCTTGGTAATTTGCTGACAGAAATCGAGATTCCTGACTACAAGAGGTACTTTAAACCCTTTATTAGTACATTTCGTTGGATTTATGGTTGTCAATTGGGGTAAAGTATGCCTTTTTGGGGAATCTGTGAATTAAAGTATTATAAACCCTAATTATGCGAATCTTTGACTGAATTAGAGTGTGAATTTGTTAAATAATTAGTTAATTAGATTTACTTGGTTACTGTTAATTTAGTGCATAGTCAATGTGAATTGCTTTTACTTGCTGTAATTGGTGAATTGGTTTTTGTTGTTTACTGTAATTACTGAAATTGGTTATTGTTGTGTGTGCTTTTGTTGGTGTTGTTACAGAATGGACACAGTGGACTTAAAAATTACAGTAGGGGGTGCCTTTATACCTTCTTTAGCTGGTAAAAATAGGAGGGTGTTAACTTGGGATGGTGGGTGGGTTTATTGGATGAGAAAGGTGGAAAAAAATAAGATAGATGTACACTTTTTGAGGCAAGCAGCTATACATGGGTTTGTGTATGTGAATGTGAAGGTTCCTAGGGGGTTTAGTTGCTGGTATAAACAAAAGGGAAAGTCTTGGGTGAATGGTAAAAGGGAGCTTGTTGATGGTGAGGTGAATGGTTTCCTAGAGTCGGTGAACAAAGAGGGGGCATGTGAGATGTATGTTACCAGTCATGAGCCAATTGAAGGGACTAACAAAACACCCTTCAAATGTATATCTGGGAATGAGCTAACCCCTGCACAAAGGAAGGAACTGAAAAAGAGGTTTAGTGGGCCTAAAGTATACAAACCCAGCCCAGAACTTAGTAAGCCCACTGAAGAAGAGCCATTTAGGAGAAGCCCTAGGTTAAAAGGCATTGTTATACATGACAGAGAGGCTGAGGAGAGGCTTCCTAGGGCAGAGAAAGTGAATGCTAATACACATAAAGGGAAGGGTAAACTCACTGCTGCAGATAAGGGTAAGGCTAAGGTTGGGGATGAGACTGGAAATTTTGCTAATTTAGTGAGAAAAATAAAAGAAAGAGTGAGGAGCTTAAGGGATGACAGTGATGTGTTTAGTGATGAGGATGGTGATACAGAGTCTTCTGATTCTGAGTTGAGTGATTTTGAGTTAGAAGTTGATGAGGGAGAGGAGGACTTATACTCTGATGATGATGAACAGTGGTTGAAGAAAAATGTAGACCATATTAACAGTGAGGTGAAAGGCAGTTTGAGGGGAGTTACTGAAGGAGGGGATCAAAGTGATGATGAGGACACAGGGTTTGACATAGAAAGAAATCTACAGAAAATTGAAGTGAGGGTTGAAGAGGAGGCAACTTGTGATTCTGATGAGCTAAAGAGTGTGGAAGGTGATTCAGATGATGATCAGGGTAGTGTTACTTGGTTTAACCCTGAGACAGACTTTGAAAGGGCTATCAAATTTGTAGTTGGTCAAAGGTTCAGTGATGTGCAAACAATGAGAAAAGCTTTGAGACAACATGAAATTGAAAATAGGTATGAGTATTACCTTCTTCACAATGATTCAAAGAGGCTAACAGCATATTGAAAAAGGAAATGCAAGTGTGTGTATAACAAGAACAGTTGTAGGATAGTGAAGTGTACATGTAGTAAGGGTGTTAGGTGTAGGTTCAAGTTTTATGCAACAAGGCTTGTAAAATCAGAGGCTTGGCAAATTAAGACACTAAGGCTGAAGCATAGGTGTGTTAGGAGTAAAATGAACAACAAGGTGACAGCAGAGTTCCTTGCTGACAGGTACTTGGAGGAGTTCAGGGGCAACCCCAGATGGAAGATTAAACAAATTCAGGACAGGGCCTTGAATGACTTGGGGATCAAAATTACATACTCCAAGGCTTGGTTGGCTAGAAGCAGGGCAAAGCTTATAATATATGGCTCTTCATCAGAGCAATACTCAAAGGTTTGGGACTATGGGAAGGCACTGCTGAAATGGAACCCAGGGAGTGAGTGTAATGTGGTGGTGGATGATATTAATCAAATTGAAAGACCAATTTTTATGAGGATGTTTGTGTGCTTAGCTGCACTTAGGGATGAATTCATTTCTGGTTGCAGACCAGTAATTGGGGTGGATGGGTGTCATCTAAAAGGGGCATACCCTGGGCAGATCTTGGTTGCAGTTGGAAAAGATGGCAATAATTCCATCTTCCCAATTGCTTGGGCAACTGCAGAGATTGAGAACAAGGACAGCTGGTGTTGGTTTCTGGAGAGCTTGCTCAAGGCACTTTGTGTGTATGACCAAGGAGATGGCTTGACTTTTATGTCTGACAGACAGAAAGTAAGTGGGTTGTGTTTGTGTTTAAATTACTTTGCTTTATTTGAATTTTCTGTACACTAACTTGTTAGTTTTGCCTTGTGTGTAGGGTCTCATAGAAGCATTTGCAGATGTGGCCCCCAAAGCTGAGCTCAGATTTTGTGTGAGGCATATTTGGTCAAATTTCAAACTAAAATTTCATGGTGCAACTTTCAAGGAATTGTTCTGGGCTGCTGCTAGGGTAAGCACTCTGGTAAGCTTCTATTTAGGTTCTTTTATGTCAGTTTTATGGTGAACTATAATGTATGCTAGGAACATTTAGTTTTGCACATATTTACATGTCTTTCTATTTTGTGAAAACTGTATGCCATGTGTCTATGTTGTGTTGAATGGTTGTCATGTTTGTGGTTTTATCAGTTTGAGTTTGAAGTTGCTATGGAAAGTATCAATTTTTTGGATGAAGAAGCATACCAGTGGTTGTCAAACATTGACCCCCAGCACTGGTCAAGGCATGCTTTCTCTACAAATTGCAAGTCTAACATGTTGTTAAACAACATGTGTGAGACATTTAATGCAATGATTAGAGATGCCAGAGACAAGCCTATTCTAACTCAAATGGAATGGCTTAGAAGATATATGATGAAGAGGAGTAATGACAAATGGGAGGCAGCAAAGTCTTGGGAAGGTTTACTAACCCCATTTGTCAACAAAGTCTTTGATGGGTTGGAGAAGTATGCCATGACATGTGAGGTTACAGCTTCAAGGGATGAAATTTATGAGGTGAAATACAAGGATGATCAGTGCATTGTGGATCTGCAAGAGAGAAAATGCACTTGTTATAGATGGGAGTTGACAGGAATACCTTGTGTCCATGCATTTGCTTGCATAATGGACAAAAGGGATGATCCTGAGTTGTATGTGCACCCACATTACTATAGGGTGACATACTTGGCTGCATATGAGAACCCAATACAGCCAATGCCTGGCCTTAAGAATTGGGAAAAGGTCAAGCTCAGACAGCCTTTGCCACCTATGCTGAAAGTGCAGCCAGGAAGACCTAAGGCAAATAAGAGAAAGCTTGAACCAGGGGAGGGCACTTCTGCAGCACCTGAGGGCAAGAAGCCAAAGGTGATGAAACAATGCAAGAACTGTGGTGGGTTTGGCCACTTTTCCAAAACATGCAAGGCTGAAGCAGCACCAGAACAACCTAACCCACCTGCAACAAATCCAAAGGGTGGGAGGCCACAGATGCAGACTCCTTGGCTTAAGGAACAGAGAAAGAAAAGTGAAGAGAAAGCAGCAAGACATGTATTTTGTGTATTTTGTGTATTTTGTGACTTGAGTGTATTTAGTGGCTTTGTTTCTGAGTGTTGTCATACTGTGATTGCAGGCTGCACTGAAGTTGCCACAATATCAGCCTCCAACAACAGCACAGGCTGGGTCAAGTAATGCTGCACCTGCAACTGCTGTGTCAAGCCAGCCTGCAACAAGAACAGAGCCTTTGCCAACTCAGCCTGTTACCAGGAGCAACAGGAGCCTGAGTCAGCCCACAAGAGTGCCAACAACTACTCCTCCCAAAGTCAAAATACAGACCAGGTCCAAGCTTCATGTAATGACAAGCAAGAAGGACAAGGATCTCAATCAACTGTACCCTAGGTCTACTCATTAGTATTTTGTAATAGACAACCAAGTTTATTTGGTAGTTGAACAATGATAGTTGAACAATGATTTTGCACAAAGGTGCCTTAACTTTTGTCTCAGCCAATGTAAAACAATTAAAAACATTGTGTTGCAAGTACTAATACGAAATGTGATATGTTTCTACCAAAAAGTTCCATTTCTCATTGATTTTGTTAAAAGTAGTACAAGAAATGTCATCCCAACATCCACACATAATAATTCAACAAAACACAACATAAGTTGGGGATTTTTTTTGTTTCTAACCATTCCTAAATGAACCTAAGATCTAAAATACATAGCCAGTACCAAACCAAAACAACAAAACACAACAATAGCATGTACTGTGAGCATTTTCTTTGTTGTTGCATTGCTGCCATGCACTTCCTTGATCATCTTCTTCCTGTCTGAGCTAAGAGCTTTGCATTTCATCTTCAAGCTGTCAATCTCATTGAGCAAGCACCTCCTTTGTCCACTAACATCATCAACTTCCCTCTTCATGTCATTCAGCTCTCCCTTCATTAGTTTCTTGTCCAGCAGCAAGTTGTTAATCACCTCTGTTTGCCAAGGTGTTCCATCTGGTTGGTCCACCCACTCAAAAGCTTTACACCCCCTTGACTCAGTCACAGGATCATAGAATTTGCAGGTCCTAAACTTGCGTCCTGGGTTCTCCCTAGTCCAAGCAGTCAGCCTAGACATTGGAACTCCACATTGGCATTTTTTCTCCTTTGAGGGTGACATGCTAACTGAAGACATTCCCTTCTGAAATTCAGTAAGAACAAGAATGAAATTAATTGTATTTGAACACAATCACCATAATATAACCCTAATTTCAGTAGCCAATTCACATAACAAAAACCCCCAATCTAATTTAATCTTACATGAACCCTAAGTATTTTAATTGAAATTGGGGTTTAATTGACCTCACAACACGCCCAATTTCAATTACTCTTAGCAAATGCAACATAATCACGCAACGAATTGCCAAAAAATTACAACAGAAATCACGAAAATTGCTAGAGAATTAACGACAATGGCTTACCTTTTTGATGTTGTTGTCGAGGAGTTCAATTGATTGTTTGATAATTAGAGGGTTTTGGATTGTTAAGGTTGCCCAATCATACTGATTTGTGAAGAAAATCGCAAAAATTAATCTCCAATCTGCAAGAATTTGGTGTACAAATGAAGAACTAGGTTTAAATAAAAGGGAAATCGAGAGAAATTTGGGAAAAAAATCAAAAACTAGCCGTTATGCTGGGCCCCACAAGCGTTTTCCGTCACCTGAGCTCAGATGAGGTGGTAAAACTGATGTTTAATTTTTTTATGAGGTGGTAAAGTAAATGTTTTTTTTTGGAGGTGGTAAATTCGACAAAGTCATTATTTGAAGGTGGTAAAAATGAAAAAACCCTTAAAATAAACATGATTAAAGCAAGAACAAGAAATTAAAAGAAAACAAGTAAATAAATTACAAAACTCAAGTAGCGGCAAATAGCGAAACTAAATTAATCAACAAAGCAAAAGAACGGAAACGTTGAAAACTAAAACTATCTAAAGCAAATAAAATAAAAGTTGTTGAAAAGAATCTAATTCTAAAATAATAAAGCTGCTAAAAGAAAACCCAACTAAAACTAATTATCAAAGGCTCAAAGCTAATAAAGTTAAACTACTGCCAATCAATGACTTCTTCGTCTCCAACAATTTTGGGAATGTATAGATGTAGGCCATGTAGCCCAAACCAACTTAAAACATCAAATACACACTCGCCCGATCGGGCAATGGGCCACCCGATTGGGTCTGCTAATTCACGCCCAGCTGACTTTTGATTTGAGGCCTTTTTCACTTGGACCACCAATAACTTAAGCTTTGTCTTGTAATCCGTGGCCTTATTGCTTGGTCCGTAATAATATATAACTTGTAAAATTTTGGACTTTCTCACGTATCAAGCCCTTAATTACCGAATTAAATTTCTCTAACTCGGTCTTGGGCCTTAAATAGTTGGTCATAAAATACGCTCCGTCTCTAATATTTTCGTAGTGGTTCAATAAGCTCAAGAATTATCATAATTCTGCCAATTCCTACAAAATAATATAAACTCTATAAAAACATTAGGAAACGTATATTAGTAATAAAAATAGCTCCGCAGAGCTCAAATAAGCACAAATATGACCGTGGGACGGAGAATAAAAATATATATAAAATAAACTCATCAGCGAGCCATGGACTAGGCGTAGCATTAAGGACTAAACCCAACCTTTTTTGTTCGGTGCCTCTCGCATTCCCTACTCAAGCAGTCTCAGAGCTGATAGTTCCAGGTCACTTAAGACCACTATCATTCCCTACTCTTGATTTACCGAGATAGAGGTATTAAGAGCTATACTCAACCTGTCTCTTGAATCTACCTCTGGTTAACAACCACTCAAATCAATAGATTCAAATAAATGTAAGTATAAACAATAAGCAATAAATCCAGCTAATTTTACTCAATCAAACAATAACCAGCAGGTTAGGATTTATTCATATCATAACATATAAAATGTTTAATTAATACTTACAAAGCTCACATCCGTTCAACAAAAGGTTTCAAACCCATTACTGTTGACGAT